CGAGGAGTCGAAAAAGACCCCTCCAGCGACCCGCGGAGGGACCTCTCCAGGCCCAGGGGGAGGGGGTAGGGGGAGGGGTAAACCCCTCCCCGAAGGGGAAGAAGGGGGGTTGAGAACAGAGCGGGCTCTCTAAACCACTCACGCCCAAAGGGCTGGTGGGATTAATAAGAAGAGCACTCGTACCACGAATTGTACGACGGACATGACTGATACGACCACTAATAGGAACAACACGACCAAGACTAATTTTTGTAGGGGGCTACTAATAATAGTACGCGTACTATTTGTATTAGTATACTTGATAGTCTCATCACTCGTATTCGCATCAGTATTCGTTTCGCTGACTATCATTGATATGAGTATTCTGAGTATTAGTGGTATCGTTTCTATTAATACTGTGGCTACTACCAGTAATCGTTAAACGACGGATACTGATACTGATGCTACTACTATGGGTAATAACACTAATGGTAGCAACACTGCTAGTCATCATATAAGCCACCATGTGAATACTGATACGGACTGGAAGAGGATCAGGAGGAGGCCGAGGATGAAGTGGAGGAGGAGGAACGATAATATGCATATTAGGACGAATAATAATAAGTCAAATCGCCTTACCAATACGATGCTACGAATCATACGATTACTAATGCTATATATGGTAGCAAGAAGAATAATCGGAATACCATGAAGAATATCGTGGCGAACACTCATACTACTAATTATAGCATAACAATACCAAGACGGATTAATAATACTGATCATATTGCTAATCGTTTACACTTATACTACGACGAATAATCAGGCGCGATACATAACATGCTATTACACATATTGAACACCTCGAATACCAACACTACAAGTAATGACAATATTCTTATTAAAACTAATGAACATATGTTGCTAATGACAAAAAGAAGGGGGGGGGAGGAGGAAACCGAGGAGAAGGAGGAGAAGGAGGAGGAGGAAGAGGTGGGAAACGGTAGGAGGATGAGGAGGAGGAGGAGGAGGAGGAGAAGCAGCAGGGGGAGGCAGTGGAGGGAAGCGGCGGAGGAGGAGGAGGGCGGAGGCGGAGGAGAAGCAAGAGGAGGAAGAGGGGGGGAGGTATGGTATGGTATGGTATGGGTGTGGCCTGCCTCCAGCAGGCAGGGCGGGTGGGCCCCCTCAGCCCGTGAAACGCCCGTCGTCGCAGTCGTCGGAGTCACTCTCGAGGCAAGCCGCTGCGCGGGCAGCTGCCCGCCCAACCTCGCGCACCTCCTCGATGTCGGACTCCCGGACCCCATGGCATCGCAGCAGGTGGAGCCGAGCCGCTCTCCCCTCGAGAGCCGCCCCCGCGGCCTCACCTGTTGCCCCCTGCGCGCCTCCAGCCCCAGCAGCCTGGCTACCCAACCGGCTGGTTGACAGGTTGAGGCGCTCGTCGAAATCGATGGCGAAGGGCCCCACAAGCCGATCGCCTTGGTGGCCAGCACGGTAGTGTGGCCACCTGAGTTGGCGGACGAGCCTCAGCTGCTCCTCCCCAGCTCCTCCTCGCCCCCGCCGCCCATTGCAAGGCGCCTTGCGCAGCTTGCCAGGCCGCTTGCCCGTCAGCACGGCGCCGCAGCTGAGGCAGAAGACCACCAGGCGCACCTCTGGCTTCTGCACGACGCCGCAGCGGAGTAGCGCATGGCCTTGCACGCTCCACGCATGCCTGGCCAGCACGGCCTCGTCCAGGTCGAACGTCAGGGCGTCGAGATGAGGACTGGGAGGCCTGGAAGCGGGTCCAGCGACAGCTCCATCGCTGGGAGATCCCTGCTGCGGCGCGGCCAGGCCTGCATCATCCTGAGGCCCCTCGCCGGGGTGGTCTTCTGCTCCATCCGCCTCGGCCGCAGCTTCCTCGCCAAGGTCCGAGTCAACCCAGGCACCGCCTGCAGGCTCGCGTCGAAGAACATCCTCCTGGTTCTGTCTCGTCTCGTCTCCCAGCGACGCCTCCAGGGAGGCGCTCCAGCTCGCCGCCTCGTCGGTGAGGACGCGCAGGCCTCGCCACAGGGCCGCTTCGGGCTCGCCAAAGCCATGCCGGGCTGCACCTCTCTTGGCCAGCTCGTCGGCGTGGTTGTTGGCGCGCCTCTCCCAGTGCGTGCTGCGCCCCGCGTCCACGTCGGCGCTCGTCGCGCGTCCGAGCGTCTTGTGGGCGGTGAAGTCGTTCTCGTCGAACGCTGCCCAACAGGGCCCCCACAGGTGGGGCCTCATGTCCGCGCCGCCGGCCCCCGCACCTGCGCCGCCTGCCAGCACCCGCAAGGTGTTGGCGCAGTCCAGGTACAACTGGAAGGGCGCCATCGCCACCATCGTGAGCATAAACACCGCGTAGTCCTCAGCGTCGGGCGCCGATTGGCCTGGCGCCGCCGAGGTGGGCACTGGCCCAAAAGCGGCCGCCTCCAGGTTGCCGAAGCGGTCTACCTGCACCACCGCCCATCCATCATGCCCCAGCCCAGGGAGGCGCTTCATGCAGGAGCTGCCGTCGAGAAAGAGGCACCCCGTGAGCCGCCCCGAGCTGGGCCTGTTGATCCAGGCGATGTCGCCCTCGGCGCCAGCCCGCTGGAACAGACAGCGGGGGTCTGGCCACAGCCCCCTGCAGAACCGCTCGCCCGCCTCCACGCTCCAACTTCTGACGCGGGCAGCCCGCTGGCGAAGGCGGAGGGAGGCGTGATCGCGTCGGAGTCGTTCATGGGCTGGGCACTCGTAGTGGCGGGGGTAGAGGCTACCCAAGCCGCCGCCGCATAGCCTGCTCACCAGGCCGTGCGCGAACAACCGCGCCTGCGGCCAGTGGACGTTGGTGGCCAGGGCTCGCAAGGCCCCTTGCTGCCTCCTGCCCCAGACATCCGTCGTCCTCCTGAGAAGCCTGTGCAGTGGCACCCAGAAGATCGGCCAGCTGGGGAGAGGCTCCACGCCGCGCGCCAGGGCCTTGCCCGTGACCTCGAGCGCCAGCTTGTCGGAGGCCCGCACCGCAGCGCGCCTGACCTCCTCCCTCACCTGCCGAGGTCCCAAGCGCGGCAGATCGATCGCCACGTTCTCGTCAGTGCGAACGGCGCAGGGCCCCTCGAAGTCGCAGCCCAGCCTGCGAGCAGTGAGCAGGGCGGCGTCGGCAGGCGTGCACGCTGTGCGCCAAGGGTGCTGATTGCGGCTGGCGCGCTGGACGGCGGCCGCCAACTTGACCTCCAGCACGCGGCCCTTCACCTGCTGCTCCCAGACCGCCAACGCCCACATGAAGAGCACGTCCATCGAGTGGAGCACCAGCGGGTCGAGCCTGGCGCCCTTCGTGTGAAGGTGAAGGCGGAGGCCCAGCGAACAGCCTTTGGGCAGCCGCCCCGCCGCCGCTGCCGCCTTGACCTTGAGGCCGTGCAGCGGCCCATCTGCCGGGCCAGCAGTGGCCGCTCCCCACAGCGCCGAGGACGTGGCCCCCATGCGCTCCAGCATGCCAGCGTCACCCAGCCCACTTCGCCGCAAATGCGCGTACCAGTGCCCACGCCGGCACGCCTCGCGGCCGCGAGCCGCCTGCGCGACCACCGACCGCTTGGCGCACAGGGTGTGGTTGGAGCCCAGCGCCTTCATGGTGTCCACCCGCGATGTCCCTGGCAACGCCCACGACGCCTGGAGCTCCTTGTCCAAGGCCGCATCGGAGGCAAGGTACTATGGGTGCCAGACGCGTTTAGGAGGGCGTCGTCCACGATGTTGCGGAGCGACACACAGGGGCCCACTGCGCTAGCTCTCCTCAAAGGAGCAGGAAATTGGCCATCGACGTGGCGCCACTGCAGCCCGCCACTATAGCCGCCCGCGCCTCGAAGCTAGCGGAGATGCACCCCTCGAAGAGGACCGCTCTCAAGCCAGCATAAATGCAGCACAACCCTCGCACCATCTTGAGCTTGAAGCGGTGCATTTTGGCCGCCTCCAGCAAGTGGCTGACCCTGACGTCCTCATAGAATCGCTGCGGGTCCAGGCCCGCAGTCGTGGACGAGACGCCGACCTCGCGCCCGAATCCCGCCATCAGGTTATGGGTGTAGCCAGCCCAATCACAGCTGGTGAGAGTCGACCCACCCCAAAAGAACGCATCATCATGGGCCCGCTCCGAGGCCGCACACCACGGCCGCTGAAGCTGGGACCACAAGCGTTGGAACATCGCCAGGATCCCAATATGTCGGACTCCGCCTCCCGCTTTCGCAATGAAGATCATTTGCGTTTGGAAGGCCAGCAAGGCGCCTGGTTGCTCCTCGACACTGATGTCGAGGAGCCTTTCGAGTGCATCGTCGCCCAGCTGCAGCAGCACCCTCGGGTTGAGCCCGTCCCAGCCGAGCCCAGCGGACTCGGTGTACCTGCCGCGCACGTCTTTCAGCTGCTCCACCGTGAGGGGCGGTAGCTCCTCGTCGCCGACGTCCCACTCGGAAGGGTGAGCATCGCCAGCGCGCCTGTGAGTCCACAGGTGCTGCCGGTCGTCTAGGATGCGCTGCACAGCCTGCTGCCCATTCCTTGGGCGCGAGGTCCTTGACGCGTCCTCCGCCATGAGGTCGCCGACGTCCTCCAGCTTTTTCCTAGCATACCTGTCGGCGTGTCGCCCGCTTTTCTGAGCCGCCTGGACCACCCAGGCTCGCCACTCTGCAGTCTTGGCCGCCGCGTCGCATGCCATGCGCCTATCGAGCTCCTGGCGAAATTTCGCGAGAGGATGCACTTCCTCCTCGCCAGACACCAGGGTCCGTCGCTGTCGCCGACCAGCAGCTTCCCGAGGTTCTCGGAGAGCTCGAGCGCCGCACGGGCCCGGCAAGCCTAGGAAGCGTCCGCCTTGGGAATCGCCGAGTGCACCGCAGCCGGCACCAGGTTGTCCCGTTGCTTCTGCAATTCCGCTGCCTCCGCAGCCGCCTTGGCGCGCTCGGCCTTCAGCGCGGCGACCTTCTGCTCGGCCGCGGGGATGTCGGTAAGCGCCAGGCGCTCGACAACCTTCCGCTTGCGCTGCAGCTTCTCGTCGAGCTCCTTGAGCTGGATGTGCGCTTGCTTGGCCGCCAGCCGCGCGGCCTGCAGGGTGCGAAGTTGCTCGCGCTTCTCCGCGCGGAGCTGTTCGACCCCGGTGCCCTCCATGCCGTCCAAGGCGCCCAGGTCGGCACGGAGCCGGTCGGCCTTGGCCATGTCGGCGGAACCAGGGCTGTCATCGCCTCCTGACGCTGGTTGGGCAGCCTGGACCTCCCTCTCGGCCTTCTCGAGGGCGGCCTCGCGCTTGCGAAGCGCAGCCTCCTTGACCTTGAGGTCCTTCTCGCGCTGTGTGGGCGCTGGGGACGGCTCCTTGGGCACCACCTTCCCCAGGAAGCAGTTGCCCTTGGCGAGGCCGCACATGTTGCACTCCGTGCGGAAGGCCTTGTTGATGCAGGCCTGCCCATCCCTGCCATGGCAGAAGCGGCAGGTCCACGACGTGGCGGCAGCGGCCCCGCTGTGCCCGCCCGAGGTCCACGGCGCCGGCGCCACGCTGCCCGCAGGGGGAGCCGTGGAGGCCGTCCCAGCAGCACAGCTGCCTGCCGCAACCGCGCGAGGGGGCCCGGCGGCGGACGGCCCGCCCAGGCGTGGAGGAGGGCGCGGGCCGCCGAGCGGCGGATGCGCGCCGCCTCACGGGCCGCCGTCGGGATGCGCGAGCGCGCGTGGTCTCAGCGCGAGGCGGGTCGCTGGTCAGCTGGGCTGACACCCCAAGCAACCTCTCGTGCCGGAACGGGGGGGGGGAGAGGAGGAGCTGGAGGGGGAGGGGGAGGGAAAGGAGGCGAAGGCGGAGGAGGAGGGAGGAATTGGAGGAGGATGACATGGAGGATGGAGAGGTGAGGAGGATGACGAGGAAGGGGAGGAGGAGGAGGAGGATGCTGAGGAGGAGGAGGAGGAGGAGGGAAGAGGAGGAGGAGGACGACGAGTAATAATGATATTATAATTAATAACATAGGCATAAGAATGAGACGAATGTTAATACTACGGACCACGGAGAGGAATGCTGCTACTACTAATACCAATGCTAGTACGAATAGTACGGGTAATCAGAACAACAGTAATAATACTTCGCCGCTACGAAAGTTAGGCCAACATTCAACGCCTCCCGGTAGGCGACGAAGCCCCAGTACAACGTTGGCGGTGGGCCCGTTAGGCCGCGGGGCCCCAGTGCAATGTTCGGTTGAAGCATTTTTCGCTCCAGTCTCGGGCGGCACCGCCCTTTCGAAATCGAGCCCGCGGGTTTCGAAATCCAGTCGAGCTCGTTTGGGGAGGAAGTCTTAGGCGAAAGCCACATTTCGAAATCGAGCCCGAGGGTTTCGAAATCCAGTCGAGCTCGTAAGTCCTAAGCGAAAGCTGCATTTTCGAGTTTTCGGGTCAGGGCTTTCAACATTTTAAATGCCAAACGGGGTGGCCATTTCGAAACGGCGGTTTCGCTTGATACCTCCTTGCTAAAAACAATTTCGAACGATTTCGAAACTTTCGGGCTCGATTTCGAAATGGCGCTCCCGCCTAGGACTTCCGCAAACATAGAATTCGAAACCTTTCTGCCTCGATTTCGAAATGGCGTTCCCGCACAGGCCTTCCTGCAAAATGAGGTTCGGCATTTGTTCCGTTCGAACTCGAAATGGCGCTCCCGCCCAGGACCTCCCCAAAACATAATTCGAAACCTTCGGGACCGATTTCGAAATGGCGCTTCCGCCCAGGACTTCCTCAATCAAGACTACGATCAGAACCACGACCACGACCACGACCACCACGACGACGACGACGACGACGATGACGACGACGATGACGACTCATTTTGACTAGTTCCGCTTGTGGTCACATTCTCGGCTCCTCTCCTCTCTTCTTTCGGTCAATCATCGTAGGCACGGGGGTGCTAGCGTCAAGGTGATTATCGGCGCTCGGCTGCTCAGGTTCTGTGGTGCTCTCAGGCTTTGGAGTGATGCTCACGGCCGTCGTGGTGTTCATAACCAATGTGATGCCCAGGCGTTGTTCAGCTGAAAACACAAAACGGGTCAAAACTTTCGTAGCGCCGATGGGCATCTTACACGACTGACATGAATGATTCCTGCGGTTACCATACGTGCGCAGTGCAGCGTGCACAGCAACCATGCGTGGTTTGAAGTTCCACTGGGCATCTTACACGACTGACATGAATGATTCCTGCGGTTACCATACGTGCGCAGCGCAGCGTGCACAGCAACCATACGTGGTTTGAAGTTTCACTTCGCCGCTACGAAAGTTCGGCCAACATTCAACGCCTCCTGGTAGGCGACGAAGCCCCAGTACAACGTTGGCGGTGGGCCCGTTAGGCCGCGGGGCCCCAGTGCAATGTTCGGGTGAAGCATTTTTCGCTCCAGTCTCGGGCGGCACCGCCCTTTCGAAATCGAGCCCGCGGGTTTCGAAATCCAGTCGAGCTCGTTTCGGGGAGGAAGTCCTAGGCGAAAGCCGCATTTCGAAATCGATCCCGAGGATTTCGAAATCCAGTCGAGCTCGTTTTGGGGAGGAAGTCCTAAGCAAAAACTGCATTTTCGAATTTACGGGTCAGGGCTTTTAACATTTTAAATGCCAAGCGGGGTGGCCATTTCGAAACGGCGGTTTCTCTTGCTATTTCTTTGAACAACGATTTCGAACGATTTCGAAACTGTCGGGTTCGATTTCGAAATGGCGCTCCCGCCTAGGACTTCCGCAACCATAGAATTCGAAACCCTTCAGTTTCGATTTCGAAATGGCGCTCCCGCACAGGACTTCCTCAAACATAGAAGTCGGAACTTTTCTGCCTCGATTTCGAAATGGCGTTCCCGCACAGGCCTTCCTGCAACATGAGGTTCGGCATTTGTTCCGTTCGAACTCGGAATGGCGCTCCCGCCCAGGACCTCCCCCAACACAAAATTCGAAACCTTCGGGACCGATTTCGAAATGGCGCTTCCGCCCAGGACTTCCTCAATCAAGACTACGACCAGAACCACGACCACGACGACGACGATGACGACGACGACGACGACGACTCATTTTGTTTCGGTCCGCTTGTGGTCACATTCTCGGCTCCTCACCTGTCCCCTTTCGGTCAGTCATCGTAGGCACGGGGGTGCTAATGTCAAGGTGATTATCGGCGCTCGGCTGCTCATAGGTTCTGTGGTGCTCTCAGGCTTTGGAGTGATGCTCACGGCCGTCGTGGTGTTCATAACCAATGTGATGCCCAGGCGTTGTTCAGTTGAAAACACAAAACGGGTCAAAACTTTCGTTGCGCCGATGTACAATTAGTAAGCATACACATATACATACCAAGACGATGAATGCGATTAACGATCGTACGAAGAATAGTGGCAAACATGACAAGACAAGACAAGGCAATGCTAATATGAACAAGACGGCTAAGACTAACCATACTAACGATAGCGCAACTAGTACTATTTGTTGTAGTTTATTGGTGGTATTATTATAATCATTATTCGTGCCCGTTTCAGTATTCGCATTCTTTGGTAGTGGCATTTTTAATATTAACACGATTACCGGGTGTAACAATCTTACTAATACTAGTGATACGAAGGATATCGCTGATGCGGCAACTGCTAAAACTTAGGGTGATACCAGTAAGCGTTGCAACGCTGATATGCGTAATACCAACAATAACGCGAATACGTATTAAGAGTTGGAGGAAGGGGGCCGACGATGAGGTGGAGGAGGAGGATGAATCACAAACATAATACGACGAATGGGACTACTACACATCATAGTCATACGATCCTACGACTGCGAATGCTACGGATGCAACGAATGCTACGGATGCATATCTATATATACATATGTATATATGTATTTTATACGTACATCGTATGAAGAATAATCGTAAGACGAGCAAGAAGACCGCGACGATTAATCAAACGACTCATAATATCATGCGTATAATAAGATAGCAAGAAGAAGACGAATACAAATAATATGGAGACGAATAATCCTACTACTGATATTACGAAGAGTGGGGGCATACGAGTAATAAGATCACACCACGAATAATGCAACTAATACGCAATTGCATATTCATTTGAAGAAAGCGAGGGGTATGGTGAATTATAAGAACAGTAATACCAATGAGGGCAAGACGGGCACGAATGCTACGACTACAAGTATGAGTTAACCGTGCTCAGGCGACGAATACTAATACAAGTGTTAGTGGTATGTGTATTCACAGTTTGATTCGTACCAATAGGTGCTACGCATCCCAGTAGCCGCATTTGTTATTTATAGTTGTAAATCTACATTTGTATAATTAAATATCAATACGATTAATACTAGTAACACGAAATGTAATGCTACTGCTACGACGGATAATACGAATAACACTAAGCATGATAACCCTGCTATATATACACATACGTGTACATATATACATATAGTTTTATGCCTACAACTATACGTATATATATATATATACATGCGAACAACAATACTGTGAATACTAGAAAGGGTTGGAGGAGGAGGAGAAGGCCGAGGATGAGGTGTAGGAAGAGGAGGACGACTAATACGCATACTACGACGAATGGGCGAACCTTTATGGTGCGGATGTGTATTTATAAGAAGAATCGTAATAATAGGAAGGCGAAGGCGACGTCTAGTCATAGTACTAATAATACAATCAAGTTGTCAACGCTGGTGCAGAAATACGCATGCTAATACCAATCGTATAACATAGTAGTAGTAGTAGTAGTAGTAGTAGTAGTAGTAGTAGTAGTAGTAGTAGTAGTAGTAGTAGTAGTAATAGTAGGAGTAGTACTAGTAGTACTAGTACTAGTAGTAGTAGTAGTAGTAGTAGTAGTAGTAGTAGTAGTAGTAGTAGCCGTAGTAGTAGTAGTCGTAGTCGTGGTCGTAGTGGTAGTAGTAGCAGTAGTAGTAGTAGTAGTAGTAGTAGTAGTTGTTGTAGTAGTAGTAGTCGTAGTAGTAGTAGTAGTAGTAGTAGTAGTAGTAGTAGTAGTCGTAGTAGTAGTAGTAGTAGTAGTAGTAGTAGTAGTAGTAGTAGTAGTAGTAGTAGTCGTAGTAGTAGTAGTAGTAGTAGTAGTAGTAGTAGTAGTAGTAGTAGTAGTAGTAGTAGTAGTAGTAGTAGTAGTAGTAGTCGTAGTAGTAGTCGTAGTAGTAGTAGCAGCAGTAGTAGTAGTAGTAGTAGTAGTAGTAGTAGTAGTAGTAGTAGTAGTAGTAGTATTAGTAGTAGTAGTAGTAGTAGTAGTAGTAGTAGTAGTAGTAGTAGTAGTAGTAGTGTAGTAGTTAGTAGTAGTAGTAGTAGTAGTAGTAGTAGTAGTAGTAGTAGTAGTAGTAGTAGTAGTAGTAGTCGTAGTAGTAGTAGTAGTAGTAGTAGTAGTAGTAGTAGTAGTAGTAGTAGTAATAGTAGTAGTAGTAGTAGTAGTAGTAGTAGTAGTAGTAGCAACATCAGTAGTAGTAGTAGTAGTAGTAGTAGTAGTAGTAGTAGTAGTAGTAGTAGTAGTAGTAGTAGTAATACTAATAGTAATATGAGTAGTAGTACACACGGCAATGCTAAACATAGCAC